TAATATTTCCAACCGGGTTGCGCTCGATATTAAAATTTATCGAGGCATCAAATTGTCTACTTTCTCCGTTGCCGGGGGTGGGGGCAGGTGTGTCGAGGGTGCGCGCGCGCGCGGGGTTAGGGCAACTCGATCAAATAACGTTCGAAACATTTTCCGTAACACGGTCCGAACAATGGGGCAGTTTAAGCGGCGGCATATGAATCCGACCGGAGCCGGCCGGGTCGCGATGAGCACGCGATAAAACCAATGTCGACAACGTGTTTACAGTTTTATGGGGTGTCGGCTAAATGCAACCCGGTGTACAGGCCTTAATAACTCTCGCGCGATACGAGAATAGAAATACGGCCGAAATTTACTGTCGCGCGGGCATTCTGCTCTCTATAAACGGCGTACGCGGGCGCCGAGAAATTTACATCGGCCACGGGGTTTAATTGAATCGTTTAATGTTTGAGCCAGTTCGAGGAGCGCGCACATTCGGATCACGTTACTTGGGATTCCTCGCGACCGTGGCTGCTCTTACACGAAGAAATAAGTCGGAAACACGCGGTAAATCTTCTTCGTCCGAGACTCGCTTCGGGGTAATTGGAATTGATCATTTATGGCGCACGTGTGCGTGTTACTGACTTATGACTGAATAGGGCCGACTTGAATGGTGGAAGTTGTTCTACGTGGAAAACGGAGCGAGTAGAGTTTTTACAATGGCATTTGATTGATAGAAACCTTGTTTTGTGAAAAATTTAGCTTGAAAATACGAGTGTATGTTTAAGCGTGGTTTTCTCGACAGCGAAAGCTGACGTGAATGATTCTGTTGTTCAATTTCTGTACACAAGCATAAAGTGACCAATCGAATTTTCTCAAAAACAAATCTCAATTTTATTATATAGAATCATTTACAGGGGAAGCTTCCCGGGAATTTAAAAATTTGAAACTCGGTATATAAAGTATATAAAGTACATTTTTTCGTGCTGAGCTTCAATTTGAAGTGGTGAAACCGTGTTCTCCTTCAAAATTGCAAAATAAGATTTTTCAAAAGCGGTTGGTAGTGGAGTATTTCGAAAAATTTGAACTTGTTTTCAAAGGGTGATTTCACCCTTGCAAAATGAAATTGGCCACGACAAAAATTATTGACTTACTCTACTTACACACAAAGATTTATAACTTTTTGAATTTCCGGGTTCGATAACTTGTTAGCCAAATATTGGCCAAAATTGCTTCGCACGAGCGTTTTTGATTCATTTTTTCGCGTAGTGTCCCATTCTTGCTGGTTGAGCTGTCACGGATTAAACGCAATCGACTCGCTTCCTGGACAAGGAAAGAGCGGGAATGGGCCAAGAGTACTGATACCACGCATCGGAGAACAAGAATCTCGTGGTTGGATGACCCGCGGACGCATTCTCTGAATCGGACCCGTTTGACAAACCTCGATTCACACTAGACTAACTCGGCGCCGATCTCTCCTATGGGCTCCGCGCGTGGCGAGCCTTTTGCCAGCAAAGGCTGCGAGCAAGGTCGATTCACGTGTACAGCCCAGAAGCTTTTACACGAAGAAAATCTGCGAGTTCAATCGGAAGTCAACCCTCATTGGCTCTGCCACTTCACTGTACTAATGAAATCAAGTCACACGCTCGTCGATCCGTGTCGTTTCGCTGGGAGCTGTTATCTTTGAATGAAATCGGATACTTAAAAGTAGAACCTCCAATGACGCGATTAAAAAATTATTGAGAAACAACGATAAAAATGAGATTCTTTATGAGAAAGCAATACAAGCCGAGAAATAAGTTGTACAGAAAAGAAAATAATCTCTATAACACGGAATTTTTTAATCACGTTGTACGGAGTTCTGTTGTGCTTTGTATTTACTTGGGGACAGTTGTTTTGTTTAGAAGTTGCTGAACTTTGTAACAAACGGATAGGGAGCTGTATGATTGTGATTTTTGCGTGGTGATTTGAAGAAATTAGAATCAGATGGAAAAATTTTGTAGAAGCAGAAAATTGATTTAAAATAACTAAGATTTCTAAGGTTTTAGAATTTTGGAAAACTGTGTGTAATGAGTGCTGAGAATGTAGAGTATTATAGAGAATTAAATATTGGATTCACTAAAGTAAATATTCTGCAAAGAACGTCTTTTTATCGAGTTTACTAAAGATTTTTATTTGATCTTGAATTTAATACAGACGTAAGTTTCTGTTTTACTAAAATTGATGTTCATTAAGCACTGGAAATACGTTCTTGCATCAACATCTACAGTTTAGTAATGAGTACAGACAATGTTTGGAACTGTGCTTATAAGTATGTCGAAAAGCACGAGTGTAAAATGCGAACACATAAATTGCGCCTGTATATGCACGTGGGCTTTATACACAGGCAGGGTGGAATACAAAGTAGGAACGCCTAAACGTCACAGTTATTCGCGCAGCTATACGTTCATGTGAAAAAGCTATATAAAATGGTGTGTATTTTATCGTACAAAATGTTAAAACGATAAATATTCCCAAGCTTTTCAAACACTTTAACTGCAGTTCAAACTTTTTTCCCGATGTACATTCAGAGAGGTGTATTTAAAATAGATTAAGTTCAATTTAGGAATTATTCGCGAACGGATACTTTAATAAAATCTCTCTCTCTCTTTCTGATAAGAAATAATTCCTTAATTTGTTAAATAATATTTTCATTCACTTACGAGCATTATTTTTGTGATTTTCCGAATTTAGAGAATTTAAATTCTTACGCGTTAAAAAACTATGTCACCGACAACGAGGTAAATAAAGAATGATCATTAAAACTGTGAAAGGAAAGGAGTAAATTTTGTAGAATAAGTATTTAAGATTTATACGTTAAAAGCTTGCAACTATCTCGTGTAGCTTTTGCAGAAGTTGAGATAAACCAGGAGGGTGTTTGATTTTTCTTGTCGCCACGGTGAAACTCATTTTCACGAAATACCACACCAAGATATATAAAAACACCTTACATTAAGCTTACTCCGAGCTATTAAGTTTAAGCAGCTTTCACTGCGCCAGCGGAAAGCTATGACACTAATAGGATGTTCTCGCCTTGTGTGCAATAACAAGCGTGAATTTAGATGCACTTTTATTAACATTTCGTACGGAGAAAGAAACTCCCGAGTATATTTTTTCATTTACAAAATAACGTTCCCCTTATCAAAACGTGACAAATTTAGTAATTATTTCAGAATTCCTGTTTATCAAGCATGAAACGGCAAATTAGAATCATTAATATATCAAAAGGAATCTTATTTAAAAATTGCATTGAAAAATAAATAAAAGTGTAACTTTTATTCATCTATACCTTAGTAAAGTAAAATACAGAAATAAATAAATCTTCGAGTATTTCTATCAGTTGCAATAGAAATTTTTACCTTAGGTAATAGTAATGTTTTATTAAATTGAATATTTTGAAAATTTCTCCATTCTCATGTTGATTAATATGTATTTGAAGGTACAATGATAACTTTGTTAAAAAATGAAAAGATTGCGTGTTGCGTATGACTCGTATTCGATTCTTTTCTAAATTTATTTATTTACGATTGCAGGATCAACTGTGCTGACGACATCACGGATTCTCTTTAAGACATCGATTGATATTGGAGTGCGTGCCGACCGTGCATGTCCGAGTGCGGTGATTTACAGGTGAGTTCGCCTTTGTGAAACAACATCTGCATTCTGTTTCTACATATTTTCTTCAACGAGCATGTATCAAGATTCAGATTTCATTATGAAACTTTGATAAACCCGAAGTAGATACATAAATAGCCGTGGATGTTCTGGCTTCAATTATTTTTCAGGGAAACTCATTCAACTTTTTATTTTTCATCCCCTGAACTTATAAATACTTTAATACTTCTATCGAAGTGTTCGTTTAATAATCAGTTTTTATTATTAGCAATTTCGCTTGTTAATTTCCTGTAATTTTCATGTTTCCTGCCTTCTATCGGTGTTTATCATCTGTAGCACATATTTACGCGGTGTAATTTCTTCAGGTTACGCTAGTGCGGTGCAAGTGTGTACCTGGTAAACATAAAACACCGGTGTGCGCACATTAATTTATCGTAACGGAAAATTTATTACGTTCATTGATAAACTACAAAACATAAAAACCTTTGCTTTGCGCAAATAAGCATCACATTTATAAATACATATTATAATGAAAGAATACATTTACATAACTTCTATTTATTCACTTTTCATTCTTTATACTGTTAAACCTTTTTGAGGAATATTTTATTCAGTTCAACACAATCACGCATTATCAGTTGACAGTTACAAACACATCGTGCCTGCAAAACAAAGCAAAATATTACTTAGATAAATAATTACAGAATTTACATAAAGTATTCGAATAATTTTATTATAAACACCAACTACAAAGTTTCAATTTGCAATATATTTATTTTCTTGAAAACCAACATCGCGATAAGAACTTTAGCGACGAGGGACGTTCAAAATTTACCGGCGACCCTTAATTCAGTCGAATGAATACGACGTAGACTCTCTCGCGAACATATCCGTTGGTTACTGGAAGTATTAAGTGATCCGAGCCGAAGTGGTAGAATCCCGTGAAAAAAGCGAGAGCGAAAGAGAAGGGAAATTCGAGCGAAGAGAGTCGTAGAGTAGTTTCGATAGCGAAAGAAGCACGGAGGCAGCGAGTACGAAAATGTCATCGCGATTTCCCGGCAGCCACTCGAGCATAATCAACGAGCGGGAAAGTTGAGTGAGTGGGCTAAGAGTGCTGCTTAAAATTCAAACGCGTGCCAGACGTATACAAAGCGAGCGGGAGTCGTCCACTGATTCGTGAACGACGATCAGGGAAACGACAGGGAGAGTTTCAGATATAAAGCGGAGGTTATATCGCGCGGCACGTGGTTGGAAGTGACAGTAAATGCTTTATTAGTACTTCAAAGGGACCGTTTACGATAATTACGACTTCTGGTGTTTCGCACATCCCGACGAATTAATATTACATAGAACTTTTCGAGTGTTTCTATTATTCATTGCGATCTATTCTCGGAATATGGCGCTAATAGGAGGTAATTAATAGAAAAGATAATTGCAAACATTTTTATTAGTTCATCGAACATTTCAATTTGTCGCATATTAAATTTTAGTAACGTTATTTGGGAAATGTTTACGTTGATTTTGATTGATACAATTATATGTACCTTAATTTTTTATTTTTATAGCTCCGATTCCTAAGATCTGAATGAACGAATATCAATGTTTGTAGGAACAATAAAATAATCTGTATAATTATTTGTAAACCTAATGTTAATCATGCATATTGATTTAAGTATCCATCTATAATTTCTATTATTATAACAGAACAACGTAATAATATCAACGATAATAACCGAATTAAATATACCAAGAACATAATATTTCAATCTCATCGCTCATAAACGTCCGACGTTACAGAATCCCCGAAATCCAAGAATAAGTAACAATCACCAGACAATTACATCGCACAAGGCAGAATCGCTGACAGCCGTTTGACAAATTCACTTTCCACCTGGTAGACCTCCCGCGAATTTAACAGTCGATTTCGAGCAAAAGAAGAGAACGAAATCGCGGGATTGGATAGGTAGAAACTTTTTTCTAGGAAATTTAACTTGAGGGCTGAGCCGGGGAGAGGGTTGAATCGGTTCAGAAAGGGAGGAGGCGATCGAGTATTGGA